AAAAGCCCACAGCAGACCACGGTGGCCTGCTAACCCCCCAGCACCGTGGGCACAGTAGAGCTGGGTCTGAGGCACTGACACAGCATGCTTGTGGACTCCAGAGGACGTCACGCTGTCTTGCCCGCAGTTACGCTGAAAAGCAGGCAAAACGGGCACAAGCCCTGCTGCTGAGAGTGACAGGGTTTCCAGGGAGGCTGAGTGAGGGGTGCCATCTGTTCACAGTGGTGCATGCACCTACACCCACGGCCACACCCATGCCCACGGCCACACTCATACCCACACCTACACCTACCTCCACTCCCGTACCCACTCCCACATCTACCCCCATGCCCACACCCATATCTACACTTACACCCATGCCCACACCCTGGGGCCCCACACCCATGCAAACAGGAGTGGGCCCGGCCACCCCACAGCTCACCTGCAGCAGTTCCCCAGCTCTCCTCTACCACTCTGAGTCATTGTCTTTCAAATCAAAGGAACCTCAAGCCCCTGAGCCCCAATGCTAACAGAGAAAATATGTTTAAAACAATAATTAAATACACTTTTCTATTCCTCTATTTAAGGATCTGGGAGAGCCGGGTATTCCACGTTAGAACAAAGACGTGCTTTCCCCTTCCTGTGGCAGCACGCAGTGTCCTGAATGTGTCATATCTTAAATCAGCTTGAGGTTTTTAAATAAGAATAGTGTGTGTTCTGGCAGCTTCTGAGCCACCGAGGAAGGGATGGGAGAGGCAGCTCAGGACCCGGGAGTGAGTCTGGAGGAGAGAGGGTGCCGGGGAGGCCAGGGCAGCTGCACAGGAGCTGGCATCGCCGTCGGGGGCTTCTGAGAAGAAGGAGCAGGCTTTCTCCCGGGTTACCGTGGGAGATGCTAGGGTGAGAGTGAATGTGTCATTTCCCTCCTTGCCCTTTGTTTCTCAGTGCCTTCCGAGAGGGAAATTTGGAAGAGAGAATCAAACAGCACATCCACCAAATGCATGAGCAAAGAAGAGTCTGTGGCCAGGCCCCGCTGGAGGAGATGAGGAAGGCGGCCGAGGATCTGGAAATGGTGAGGATTTCTTGGTTCTGTTTAAAAAATTGCGGGGATTTTGTTTTTCGTTTTTGTTTGAGTTGGAGTCTTGCTCTGTCACCCAGGCTGGAGTGCGGTGGTGCCATCTCGGCTCACTGAAACCTCTGCCTCCCGGGTTCAAGCGATTCCCCTGCCTCAGCCTCCTGAGTAGCTGAGACTACAGGCGCACACCACACCCAGCTATTTTTAGGAGAGATGGGGGTCTCAAACTCCTGGCCTCAGATGATCTGCCCGCCTTGGCCTCCCAAAGTGCTGGGCCACCACTCCCAGCCTAAAATGCTGTTTTGTTAAAAATGAAGGGAACTCACTATGCCTCTTCAGAGCACGTGTTCTCTAGAAACCGTGGGACTGGAAACCTGCAGTTTTTCTCTGAAAACCATGGGACTGTGTTGAACGTGTCTTATGAGGGTGTGGGAATTCCCAGAATTACAGTTGGTCACATGAGAAGGAAAACATTTCAGCTGAGGTCCTGAGCCCTCAGATGTGCCGGGCTACATGGTGGGCCCCGGCATCTTAGCACTGGGCAGCTGATGGCAGGCGTGGCGGCCTGCTGGCAGGCTGGGGACCGGGGGCCAGTCCTCTGCACGTGTCTGTGGGGTGCTTGCTTGAGGCTTTGCACCCAGTGGAACCGAGCTCTCGACCCAGAGCCGGGCCATGAGGGACGCTACTGCAGAGACGGGTTTGGCTGAGGCCATGCTCAGTGTCTACGTAGGCAGACTGACATTTCACGGGGATGAGGCCTCCTGACCAGGGACCTCCTGTGTGGAACAGCTCACGGAGGTGTCTCCTGTATGTTTGGAATGTTGACCATCCCCTCAGCCACCGCCAATGGTGTTTATCCACTCAGCGTACGCCGATGCCGCCTTCTGGTAGCTGGAGTGTCCTGGGTGGTGGGAGAGATGCAGGGATGAAGGAGAGTGCTTTGTTGCCCAGATTGCTGCCTGGCCAGCCCATCCAGCTGTAGAAGGACACAGCTGCCCTCGCTGGCAACGAACCTGGATACCCGTGTCCCCACCCTTCTTACAGCCATAAGAATGCTGGCCTGTCCTCCCAGGCTACCCAAGGCCCCTGGCTGGTGGACTCTTCTGGGTCAGTGTGCCGTGCCCAGACACAGGTCAGGCTGGTGTGGGCTGTATCTGGGCTGCCCCAGAGCAAGGAACACTGTCAGAGGAGGAAGCAGACCCAGCCTCCCTGTACCCATGCCCTGTCTCCAGGCTGTGTTACCCCGTCTCCCTCACTCCTAAAGCAGGGGACGAGAGAGGAGGCGTGAGGGCAGGGTGTAGGACACTTCCTGGAGACCCCCCAGCCTGACTTGGACCCCTCTTCTGAGACTTCTCCTCCTCGGCCCAGGGCGTTTGTACCTGCCTTTAGGTGAACTTTTGCTCTCTCTAAATCTGTCATTTATGAGTATAACCTTGTCCTTGGACACCAGAACGCTGCCTCTTAGGGCTGGAAACATCTGTGTCTCAATCCATTGCTTCAGAGTATGGACTCAAGAGTCTATTTGGTGTTATAAACAAGTTTAGGCCCACAGATTTGATAACTTTAATGAAATAGATGAATCCCTTAAAACGCAACATCTGCCAAAACTTGCAGAAGAAATAAGTGATGTGAATATGTTTGTATCTATTACAGAAAATTAATCAATAATTTATTACATTGCAAAACAGAAATCACAGGCCCAGATGGGTTCACTGGTGAATTCTACCAAACATTTAAGGTTTAAGGAAAAAACTATACCAATTCTCTATAATGTCTTCCAGAAGATAGAAACAGAGGGAAAACTTTTAACTCATTCTTTGAGGCCAGCATTACTCTAATACCAAAACCATACAAAGATATTACAAGAAAGGAATACTGTAGACCAGCATTGTTCATGAACATAGATGCAAAAATTCTCAGCATTCAGAAATCAAATCCAGCAATGTATAAAAACAATCACACACCCTAGTTCAACATTGAAAAGTCAATCGATGCAATTCACCACATCAGTAAGCTAAACAAGAAAAACCAGTTGGTTTTATCAATAGATGTAGAAAAAGCACCTGACAAAATATAATGGCTGTCATGATACAAACCCTCTGCAAATTAGGATAAGCTGGGAACTTCCTCAGCTTGTTAAAGCAAATCCAGAAAAGGCCCACAGCTAACATCATTCTTAATGGTGAGAAACCGGAAGCCCTCCTTCCCCTGCTCCCTGCCTGGCGACGGGGCCCTCCTTCTGCCTTGACCCCTTCCTGGTTGCTACCACTCAGCCAGCACGTGGGACAGTGGACTCCATCCTAGAGCTTCTAGTTTCTCACCACTAAGAATAATGTTAGCTGTAGGTCTTTTCTGGATCTCTGCCTCAAAAAAAAGGAAGCAGAGTCTGTCCAGGTCATGCCAAGGCCCTGAGTCCGCTTCCCTACTCTGCCCAGCCCACTGACTCCTCCAGCCTCCCAGCAGGAGACAGGGCTGTCTCTAGAGAAGCTGACCAACCAGGCACCACGGTGGTGACAGAGGCCACGTGTGGCCTTCCTGAGCCCTGCAGAAGGGCAGGTACACAACGGGCCATGAGGGCCGGCCGGCTCCATGGCACTGTCTGAGGCACCAGCCAACCAAGACAGTTACTGACCACAGTTTGCTTCTCATAGAAATCTGGGTCAGTGACAAGTGATATTGACCGTGTTGTAGTGCCATAAGCCCTGAGTGGTGCTCTATCCCACAGCTGTGATGTGGCTGTATGAGGCTGCAGGGGTCTCCGGGGACCTGCACTGGAGGGAGAGCCAACCCGCGCCCCCAGCGGGGCAGGATGCGGAGGGAGAGGGGAGCCGGGCGGCCCAGGGCTCCTGTGCTTGGAGTGGGGAGGTTGGGACGCTGCAGGGGCGATGCCTACGGGCCGGAGGGGCAGGAACAGAAAGAGGCCCTCCTCAGCTGCTGCACCTGAGGCCCCCTCAGTGCCCTCCCTGACTTCCCTTGTTCTGCCCAGGCCATTGGCCGCAGAGCGTAGGTCTGGAACAGAAAGCCTGCCCCTGCTTTCAGACTCGACAATTTCCTTCTCCTGCCCCTGATCCACTGCTCCTGTGTCTGTGGGGTGAGGGTGGCAATTGTGGCCCCATCTGCCTCCCAGGGTAGTTCCGGGTCTCAGGTGGGGTCACAACTGTGGTGATGTTTGCCAGCACTGCCCGGATGTGGCACCAGCCTTCCCTTTGCCCACAGGATGGGACCCTGAGTGTCTGTTCATCCACTGACCTGCATCTCTCAGGAGACTGTCTGCATAGGACACCCGGGTGGGGCCATGTGTGTGCCTGCCGAGGGCAGTGTCCTGGGGTGGAAGGCCTGGGAGCTGGCTGGAAGTAGGCTGCCGGCCCGTCGCTGAGGGGGTGGGGTCGTGCCGTGATGCGGCTTGCAGGGGTCCCTGGAGAAGCAGGGCTGGCCCTGCTCACTTCCACGTGGTCTGGGCCCCACATGGAATCTGAGCCAGAGAGGTAGTGACATCCTGAGTCCTGCCAGCCTTTCTAATGCAGCCCCCCTTGCCTCCCACAAGGCCAGAGAGCTACAGGATGAAGTACTGAAGCTAAAACTGGGATTAGCCTTGGACAAAGACCAGCGATGGACTGCCCTCACTGGAGGCCTTTTGCTTCGCCCAGCGTCACGGCCTCGCAATACATTTTTTAACACAAAATATTAAGAATCGGGAAATGTTTGCAGATGCAGTGACACCAGGTGGCTGGACTGATGGAACCGTCTTCAGACAGGAGATGCTCAGTCTTCTTCCTCGGGCGTTGCCTCCTGTGTGGTGGCCGGGAGGGCACCAGGTTCACGTTCGTCTTATGGCTTTTTCACAGCAGCCTGTTGGTTTTCTTAGGCGGTCCGTGTTTCTCCTGAGGCTGTGGAAGATTTCAGCCGAATTAAAAGAAAGGACACGGTGAGCACGTGGCCCGCTTTCATTCCCTTCCGCAGGTTCCCGCCAATGCACGTGGCGGAAAGGGCCGGCACCGGCCTCTCTCCCACCCTGGAGCCCTTGTTACGAAAGTCCTCATAGCTTTCATTCACTTCGTTATTTTAGTGTGGGAGAGGAGACCAGGTCACCTGATTCCTGCGAGGCCCAAATTAGGGACTTGCCTCTGCCTGGAGGCAGGGCTCTCCTTTCCTGCTGCCTGCCCAGTGACAGGGCCCTCTTTGGCCTTGACCCCTTCCTGGTTGCTACCACTCAGCCTGCACATGGGACAGTGGACTCCATCCCAGGGCCATGGCAGGGCCCGCGGACCTCATGTCATAGATCAGCCTTATTTCACACTCTGCCTACCAGGCTGTGTAGATTCTGTGTGACTTAGTGTCTTTGCTGAGTGCTTGACTGGATCTTGAAAACATTTTTCATTTGATTTCCTTAAAACAGATAAGACAATTCAGACTGCATTTTGTGTTAATTTTGGTAAATATGGTTTTCAGTGAGTTTCCTCATTTCATCCAATTTGTGCTATGTATTAGCATAAAGTTCCTCGCAATATCCTTTTATTCTCAGTATCTTTAAGATCCGTAATAATGTCCCCTTTTATTCTTGGCTTTGCGTTCTTTATCATTCTTAATAGGGATTTATCAATGTTGTTCTGCTTTTCCAAGAACCCCAGGCCACTGGATTCTGTCTCACGGTCTCTGCACTCTGCATTTTCTTTCTGTGCTTTCTGAGAGTTTTACTGGTGCTTAGAGAGAAACACATCACTTCTAAGCCCACGTATTAGAGAGGAAGGACGGTCTGCAGTTCATCATCTACGCTTTCCATGAGAGAAGCTAGAAAAGGTGCCCGTGGCCGGTTACGGCCCAGCAGCTGGAGCAGCAGACGTTCATTTACCATTTCTCGCGTCTGAGGGCAGGAGTCGGAGCGCTTAGCCGGCGTCGCTGCTCAGGGTCTCTCGTGAAGCAGGAGTCAGCGGTGGGTCGGGCTGCGCTCCTTTGAAGCTTTAACTGGGCTTGGGGCTCAGCTTCCAAGTTGCTCACCTGTTGTTGATCAGAGAGCGTGTCCTTTGTGATCCCAGTCCTTGGAAATTGTGAGGCCTTGCCCTGTGGCCTGCCCGGGATATGTTTTGGTAAATGTAGGCTGTGCACTTGAGAAGAATATATTTTGATGTTGCTGGGGACGTTGTTTTGTGTGTGTCAGGTGACACTGACAACCCTGCTGCTCAGAGCTCCTGCACCCTTACTGACTGCCTCGTTTAAACTCGGCCTATCAGTTATGGAGAGAGGCCTGTCCACAGTTCTAGCTATGACCACGAACTTGTACTTTTTTCTTAGTTATGTCAGTTTTGCTGTATGTGTTTTGGGGCTGTTTTCTCACATGCCGACGAATTTAGGATTGTTTTATCTTCTTGTCGAACGGACCTTGTCGTTACTATGAAGTGTTTCTATTCCTCTCATTCTCAGTTCTTGCCTTCACGTGCATTTTGCCTGATAACACAGGCACACGGCTGCTGCCTCAGTCAGCGCTTCCATAACACATCTTTTTCCACCCTGTGCTGTCAGCCTCTCTGTCTTTATGCTGCATACAAAGTGCGTCTTACACAGACATACAGTTGGGACTCCTTTTCTTTCTCCAGCTGGCCAGCTCTGTCCTTTAAGAGGCAGAGCGTTTAAGGTGAGTGTGCGCGAGGCTGATTCTCTGCCACTGTCTCGCTCCTCGTTTTATGGATCTCAGGTTTTTATTCCTTTATTCTGCTGCTGCTGCTTCTGATAGTGATCAATTTTCTTATTTATATCTCTTCTATTAGAGTTTTAGTAATATATTTTTATATTGTTCCCTTGGGTGTTGCCCTTAAGTTCATTAGCATCTCCCGAATGAGCCAGTGACGCTGAGCAGGCTCCTCCCGGCTGCTGGTTCCCGCCCTTGCTGCTGTGCTGTCACCATCTTGCGTCCCAGGAGGTGCCCAGCAGGGCGTCCACATGCTGGTACTAGACATCAGGATTCTCTTCACCATTAAAGACTGTCCTGAAGCTCTTCCTTCCTGCAGCTTCCTGCCCCAGTGAGGGCTGATTTTCATTCATGCAAATAACTTTTTTTTCTAATATTTCTTTGTATCTTGGTTATGTTTTGACGGGCAGTAATTTCAGCTTTTGTTTGTCTGAAATACATTTAGTTGCCCTTTATTCTGTGCAGGACAGAAATCTAGGTGGATGTTTCTGCCATCCCCAGCACTTGAGCGATGTGCTCCACTGTCTTCTAGCTCCGTGAATTTTGTTAAAAATTTCAACTTTCATTGTTATTTGCTGCTCCTTTGAAGGTAAGTGGCTTACCTTACTTTTTTCTTTGTTTTAAATTTTTTTCTCATCTTTGGTTTTCAGCAGTCTGTGTTGTATGTGATTTTCTTTTTACTTTTCTTGGAATATCCAGAACTCGGATCTGGGAGTTGGTATCTTTCATCAGTTTTGGAAAACTCTTAGCCATTATTGTTTTGACTTTTTTTCCCCTGTTGTTCTTCTTTCTGAGACTTCAGTTTTATGTGTATGCGCATGTGTGTGTGCATGTGTGTGTGCATGTGTGTGCACGTCTGTGCATTGTGCCTGTGTGTGCGTGCATGTGCGTGTGTGCATGTGTGTGTACATGTGCATATGTGTGTGTATGTGTGTGTGGGCATGTGTGTGTGTGTGCATGTGTGTGCATGTGTGTGTCTGTAACCTGCACACCTCTCCTCTCTGTCTTGTGTTCTGTTTTTTCATTCCTCTCTGTACATCAGGCTAGATATCTCTGGATTTTTTAATCCTGTCTTCTGATGTGTCCCACAGAAAACCCATGAGGTTTTTTAACATTGAAAACATTAGGCTTTATGATAGAAAAAAAACATGAACCTTGATGATTGTGCCATTGCACTCAGAAAAACATCCCGGGCTCTGAGCAGCATCTTTCCGCGGCCAAGTCGGGCTTCCTGGTGAGCCTCAGGGAGTGCGTGGGCTCAGATGCCATCTTTCTCATCCCCAGCATTCCTCTTGCCCCGTGTTCTCCTTCTCATCTCTGCCAGAATTCCATGTCTGCTCGCACGTGCCATCCACCTTTTCCGTTAGATCCTTTTGCATCATCATCATAATGATTTTTTAAACAAATGTTTTCTTTCAATGAGTTCTAAATTTCAGATATTGTGTTTTTCAGGTCTAAGGTGTCCGGTAATGTTTTGTGGATGTCAGTTCTCTGCTGAAATTCTCCATCTTTTCATTTCCTTTATATTCTCTATATACATGTTACATAAGTTTTCTATAACATATCACATTTGTCTCATAAGTTTTTAGTGAGTGCTCAGCATTGTATACAGCTGACCCTTGAACAAGAACTTGAATTATTAGGATCCACTCGTAAGTGGTTTTTTTTTGTTTGTTTGCATGTTTTTTTGAGATGGAGTTTTGCTCTTGTCACCCAGGCTAGAGTACAATGGCACAGTCTTGGCTCACTGCAACCTCCGGCTGAAATTCAAGAGATTCTCCTGTCTCAGCCTCCTGAGTAGCTGGGATTACAGGCGTCCGCCACCATGCCTGGCTAATTTTTTGTATTTTTAGTAGAGACACAGTTTCACCATGTTGACCAAACTGGTCTCAAACTTCTGATCTCAGATGATCCACCTGCTTCAGCCTCCCAAAGTGCTGGGATTACCAGCATGAGCCACCGTGCCCAGCCATAAGTGGATTTTTGAAAACAAATATATTGGAAAAAAATTTGGAAATCTGCAACAATTTAAAAACATTTGCAGACAAACCACGTAGCCTAGAAATATCTTTTAAAAAATAAGAAAATGTTAGGTATGTCACAAACGCATAGAATATACAAACCATACATAGACCATTCACAGTAGAGAGAAACACAGCCGAAAAGATGCAGCATTGGCCGGGCTCAATGGCTCACATCTGTAAGGACTTTGGGAGGCTGAGGCAGGCAAATCCCCTGAGGTCAGGAGTTCGGGACCAGCCTGGCCAACATGGCAAAACCCCGTCTCTACTAAAACTACAAATATTAGCCGGGCATGATGGAACACACCTGTAATCCCTGCTACTCAGGAGACTGAGGCAGGAGACTCACTTGAACCCAGGAGGCAGAGGTTGCAGTAGCTGAGATCATGCCAGTGCACTCCAGCCTGAGGTACAGAGCAAGACTCTGTCTCAAAAAAAATGCAGCATGAAATCATCACTGCATGAAATTAACTGCATTCCACAGCATGCTGCTGGAACAATTACAAAGCCACCTCCTGTTGCTATTGCAGTGAGCACAAGCATTTCAAGGATCTGCTTAAAACACTGTGTGCTGCTAATCGTCTCTGCATGAGCAGTTCATGTCTTCAGTACATTGTGTATCACAGTAAAAAGTCATCTATTTTAACTGGACATGGTGGCACATGCCTGCAGTCCCCGCTACTCAGGAGGCTGAGGCAGGAGGAGCCCTTGAGCCCAGGAGGTTGACGCTGCAGGTTGATCTGTGATTGCACCACTGCACGCCAGCATGGGTGACAGAGTGAGACCTCAAAAAGGTGACATCTGGAAGTTCTTGTGTATTTTTCATGTTTAGTGCAATACTGTAAACCTTGAAGAAAACTTTGGGACCCATGCAGACTGTCACCAGCCATGCTGAAGAGCTCCTGAGAAGCAGAGAAAAGTCATGACATTTCAAGAAAAAGTTGAATTTCTTTTTTTTTTTTTTTTTTTGAGACGGAGTTTCGCTCTTGTTACCCAGGCTGGAGTGCAATGGCGCGATCTCAGCTCGCCGCAACCTCCGCTTCCTGGGTTCAGGCAATTCTCCTGCCTCAGCCTCCTGAGTCGCTGGGATTCCAGGCACGCGCCACCATGCCCAGCTAATTTTTTGTATTTTTAGTAGAGACGGGGTTTCACCATGTTGACCAGGATGGTCTCGATCTCTTGACCTCGTGATCCACCCCCCTCGGCCTCCCAAAGTGCTGGGATTACAGGTGTGAGCCACTGCACCCAGCCTGGCTTTTTAAAATTTTTTTCTCGAAACAGAGTCTACTTAGTCACCCAGGCTGGAGTGCAACATTGCAATCTCGGCTCACCGCAATGTCCAACGCCGGTGTCCAAACCATTCTCCCGCCTCAGCCTCCCGAGTAGCTGGGATTACAGGCACCCGCCACCACGCCCAGCTAATTTTTTGTATTTTCAGTAGAGACGGGGTTTCACCCTGTTAGTCAGGCTGGTCTTGAACTCCTGACCTCAGATGATCTGCCTGCCTCAGCCTTCAAAGTGCTGGGATTACAGGTGTGAGCCACCGTGCCTGGCGTACGTTTATTATACATCAAAGAAGGTGTGGAGACAGCAAAAAAGATGAAGAGTTTCAAGATACGAGTCTTGAAGAAATTCAAGAGCTAATCGACACCGCAGCAGAGCAGTGAACAGAAGAGCCCGACGGAGGTGAGTGCTTCCAGGCTGGGCGACGAGGAGGAAGACGTAGAAGCAGTGGGGCCGGGAAAGAAGCTGGCCCAGGGCCCCGGCAGGAGCCTTCCCGTTCTTCAGGCTGCCTTTGCCTCCTTTCAGGACCTGGGCCCGTCCATGATGCAGGCACAGAAACTAAAGCAAGAGCTGGAAGGAGGATTGGGACCGCACAGAAACAGTTTAGAGAAATGAAAGTGCAAAGTCAGACAAAAGTTATGCGGATTTCTGTAAAGTTCCACGGAGTGCGCCTGCCTCTCCTGCTTCCCCTTCCTTGCTCCCCCTCTTCTGCCTCTGCCACCCCTGAGATGCAGGGCCGGCTCCTCCTCCTGCTCCTGCTGCTCAGCCCACTCAACCTGAAGAGGACGAGGACCCGGGCCTTCATGAGGGTCCACTTCACTGAATGATTAGTAAACAGATTTTCTCTTCCTGATGTTTCGTAACATTTTCTTTTTTCTATCTTACTTACCGTAGAATACGGTATCTAATGCATATAACATACACAGTGTGTGCTAATTGAATGTTAGTGTCACCGGGAAGCTTCCTGTCAATGCCACCCCCATTTTTGGGGGGTCAGAAGCAATATCTGGATTTCCTGCTGCATGGGGCTTCAGCGCGCCGTTAACCCCACAGTGTTCAAGGGTCGACTCTAAACAAACCGCAGAGATGAAGGACCGTGCTGGTTTCCCTGAGAGGACTGGCCTTTTCCTCTCTTACACACATAGATGGGCACAGGTTTTATCCCCTCCGTCCCGGCAAGGCTTGTGCTGGGTGCAGCCTGGGCTGCAGCGTCGGTGACATCTGGTCGGACTCTGCTTTTGGAGGGCTGAGGTGAGACCTGTCCTCGGCTTGCTGCGAACCCCTGAGACTTCACCCTGTCTTCAGAACAGCCCCTCAGCTTCCTGTGCTGGTACCAGACCCGGGGAAATATCCTGGGGACCAACTGTGCTGCTGCTGCTCTAGACCCTGCCCGGGGCCTCAGCCTGGGGTGCAGCCGCTCCGGTGCCCCGCGAGGCCCCCCAAGGCTGCCCCGGCTCCAGCCTCACACGCGCCCTGTGACTCCCGCGTCCGGCCTTCCCCTGTGGCTACAGGAGCAGGAGGTCACCGCTCACCTGCCCAGAGGTCACACTTTATTCACCGAAATCTTTTTAAAAGAATCGCTGTGCTTTAATTATGTTTCTTAAAACAACGTGAGAAAGTCTCCAAGCCTGTTACATTGTGTTAAAAAAAAATAGAGCTAATAGAAAATTCCAGGTTATTCGCGTTTAATGTGGTAACGCACGGGCTTGCATGCTTCCGTCTTCAATCAAGTCTCTTCGTTCCATTGTTCTTGCTAACCTGCAGTTCCATTCTATCAGTAGTGACATTCCCTCACCTTCTCTCATAATCAGACAGATATTTCTCTATTGATTTTTGAAAATTAAATAGCAATTATTTTCCTCTCAGCCCAGGGTTTTCTCTTCCCTCCCTTTCTTCTCCCCTGCCTCAGCTGAGGCCTTTAGAACGTCCTCACGTCCTGTTTCTCTCCATCCTGTCTCAGTTATCTGTTGCCGTGTGACCACTTAGTGGCTAAAAACCTCAGCCTCCCCCCAATCTCTTGGAATGCTTTATGTTGACGGGGCTCAGCAGGGCGGCTCTCCCGTCCTCCGGCTGTCTTTGGGGTCACCAGCGATCTCATGGCCCAGCTGAGCTGAGATGTGCAGGGTGGTGCCAGGCAGTGCCCTCACATACCTGGCGCCCTGGCCAGGTGGCCGGAAGGTTGGACTCAGATGGGATGCTGGGGTCACTGGAACTTCTTTCTCAGGATGTCTCTGCCTCTCATGGTCCCTTCCTGGGGTCTCTAGCAGGGTGCCCAGCCTTCTTCCATGGAGGCTTAGGGCTCTGGAAGTGCAGAGTGGGAGTGTCCAGGCCTTCTGAAGACTTGGGCCTACCCTGGTGTGCCCCAGTTCCTCTGTATTCTCCTGGGGAATGTGAGTCCCAGGGCAGCCCAGGTCTCTGTGGAATGGCAGGCAGCGGCCACAGCCTGCCTCCTGCCCCAAGCCTCAGCTGTGTAGAGGGTCTTTGGGTCTCGATCTGCCCTATTGGTTGAGCTTCCCTTCCAGATGGTGCATTCCAGGAG